TTCATTATTGTTTATGGTCAAATATTTATCGGAAATCTTGTATTCATAATTGAGATTTCTAGGTGGAATTTACATTTGCTCCTGGTAGGTAGTTAGTACTTTTGCAACCCCAGATAACCTAACAGAATCCAGAATTGGAGCATAGGCAAACTTTAGCATTTTCTAGGGAGAATCTTCTTTAAGTTCCCTCATTCTTAGATAATAGCCTCTCGGGGTATAAAAATGTCTACTCCCCACAAAATCATGCTTCCTGGACACAGGAATCCAGTGTTGACCTTTGTAGTTTGGAAACTTTTATAAGTATTAATTAGGTTATTAACTTTAAAGTTTGTGACTCTGGTGTAAAAGTGACATTCCCCCATACACTGCTTATTGGCCTGCAGAGTTTGTTTTTCTTTATTGCAACTTGGTGTATCTTTCCTGCATTTTTAGTTCTCTGATGTATTCAAGCAGTATTGTTTTTTAAATGTTTCATATGTCTTTCTCTTTTTCCTCACTGGAAGAACAGGTCAACTAGATTATTCCAATATTACTAGAAACAAAATTCTACACCTGTGCTTCTTTATTCCAATGAACAGTTAATTAAAAAGCAAAATCTGACTTGGTCACAATTCAGAAATTTCTTTCATACATAGAGATGCTATTTGACTATGATTGGGGTACATGCTAATAAATAAACCCACTCTAACTTGGAATATCATAAGTTGAAGATGCGTTTATTACACATAACCTACAAAGCATTACCCTTAGCAACACAGTATGCTGCATTTGTTAACCCTGGCAGTCACGAGGCTACATGGGAATTGTGGTACAAGAGTATCCAACCACATACCACACCAGCCTGGGAAAAGATTACAATGTGAAGGACAGATCCTATTGAAAGCTTTTACTTCATCACTTTGACAACACCATAAAATGAAAAACTTGCAAGTTGAACCATGGTGTAGACTGTCAACACAGTATATAAACATAGGTATTGTTTTTTGTAATGAGATTATCTTTTTCATAAGAATATTTTAACTTGTTTTTATGATTGTCCACAGGTTCAATGTCCAGATTTTAAGGGTATATATCACTTGGGTTCAGATTAACACATCTCTCGTGTTCAACGGTCAGGTTTCCTATATATGAATTATTAGTTGAGGATCAAGGAAGGTGATTTACAAAATTTTTCCATGGCAAATTTCATGTTAAATTAAAAGTTCAAGGTGCTTTGGTAACATACAATAGAAACTATTATGATTGTCAAAAGCCTCAGGCAATTCTGAGACCTTAAATGTGGAACTAAATGCAAAGCTTTCCCAGGAGCATGAACTGTTTGAATAATCTCCAAACATTTTTATACAGTGAGTCTCTCCACTTTTTCAATCTTGGAGTCCTATGAACAAGGAACAGCAACACTTGACCTTTTTTTACATAACATTTTACTGAATATGTTCTTTTCTAGATACTGTTATAGGTGCCTTGTTTGATTGCCTATTCATAAGAATATAAATACTATAATTTTCATATTTTAAAGAATTTAACTAACTTGCCTAATTATCTTCTGAGTCACAAAAATATGAGTAATACTGGCCTCACTTTGGAGGACAAAACAGGCTTAAAAGTTGAAATCAAGTTCCTAAAATCATAGAATCACAAATGGTATGAGTCTTTCTTTGATGCAACATTATATCTTTCCATTTGGTTATAGCCTGTTATCAAGAAATTCATAAGGAAGAGTTAGGATAGAAAAAAAAATAGAATTCTTCTGTTGACCACAAAAGAATGATAAAAAATTAAAAGTCGCCTTTCTACTATGTTCAGTTTTTTTTTTTAAAAAAAAACATCTTTAGGATTCTGATTTCTATGGACTCAAATCAATTTTACAACTATGTTAAAATGTACAAAACACCTAAGAATATAATACCACAGTGATCTGCATATTCTGTAGTGGAACTATTAAACCAAATTGCCAGACATCCAGAGAGTGACACTGCTGAAGGGTAGTGACAGCAGCCATTGGTTAGTGACAGTGCACCATTACGAGGCCATTGGTAAAACGTCTTTTCCACATTGGACAGGTCTCTCCAGGGAAACCTTAACATTAAAAATATATGTTATTATTTAGTTGAGCAAAATCCTTTTTTTGTAAAGGTCAAAGGAATTATGTAAGCAATCAGTAGTTCTTGCTAAGAATAATGCTAGAAATCCCCAAAAGTTAGACTCTAGCCAAGTTTATAAGAATTTGGAGTAGTCTCTAGTGTTATCTTCACTGTGCCCTGTGACTAGCTCCCGAATATTCTTTAAAAGTCACCTACTCCCACAGCTGAATTTGATTTTCATTTCAGGTGAGTTTTTCTCATTTATGATGAAGGAAATTTTGGTAACCTATAACTGAGCCAATAATTCCAGTAATTCTTGTGTTACCTTACTTATTTGGAATCTCATTTGTAAACTGATGTTTGAAAATCACTACCTAGTCTAAACAATAAACATGGTAACTGTTTTTTTTTTTTTGTTGTTGTTGTTGTTGTTCCCTTCATGAAATTATGAACACAGAATTCTCTAAACAATTATTGTTAGATGCTTTATTTTATGATATCAAATGATCATATTTGGAGGCATATTGGGAATCAAACTCAGTGCCTCTTGCATGCCAACAACTGCTCAACCACTAAGCTACAGCCCCAGGCCTCATTTAATTTTAGCATTTATTCATATTTTGAAGACTGCCATCATGAGTGTAATAATATATTAAAATTATTCTTTTCAAATTTAGCATTGTGAGACCCTCTTGGATAGTTATACACATTAAGTCTGTTCTCAAAATCTGCAAGTAAAAATTATAGAATGTCAGTGTGCAATTACATGTAAGTGCTTTTTCCGCTAATGTAAATAATAAAATGTACCTGGGCTGTTATGAATGCAAAACTAAACTATTGAGTACTGAGTTATTTGGTAAAAATACATTGATTCAAAAATTACTAGGAGGGTTTTGTGGGGGGGGAGTACATGTGTGCATATGTGTGTGTGTGTGTGTGTGTGTGTGAGATAAAGTGACAACTAGGAATGGGTACCAATTGTTATTAAAAGATGGGATGGTACCTAATCAGAAAATTCTCTTAGCAGGCTTGGTGCACCATGGTGGATATATCTAGTATGAACCAGGTAGAAGATAGAAGTCAGCACAAGTAGTGGGTTCCAGAGACAGATGGAAGACGTACATAAGCATCTTTCATACCAGCCGGTAAAGTAATGCAACCTGAAAAGATGAGGGGAAAATACGGGGACTTTGCGCACTGAGATAGCCTTAGGATTCTCACATTCTAAATGTTGTCCAAACACTGAATATTTGATTATTGTGCTGTGTAGTGTTTTCGATTGATTGAGGTTCTCTACTATTTCTTTCTTTTGTGTTGCTAAGGGCAATGTGATTTTTTTTTTTATTTAGAAGGTAGAGATTTTTCTATCAAGCAACAATGTGTGGGGTGAATTACACAATAATTTTAATGCTTCACCTCCCTGAGACAGTTATTGCCTTAAGTTATTCCACAAGGTCATCTCTTGATCCTCAAAGCCACCCCTCAGGCGCAACTTGTCTCCCTCCCTGCACACCAACCTATGTGGTGAGGTGAGGTCCCCTCAGCCCAAGTATTGGCATTTTTATTTTTTAAAACCAGATTTTCTGACTAAACTCTATCCTTTTTGAAGTTATTAGAATGCAAACAATACTTTGTTCCCCCAAATCCAAGAATATTTACACTCTGAGTGTGGACTCTTCCATGTGCATAAATGTTGCCTAATCAAGTCACCATCACCATAGCGTGAGTCCATATTCAGTGTCGTTTTTGTCTGTTCCATCAGTAGCGACTGTATTTTACTTCTAATTCCTTGTTTCTTATGATTTCGTATTTCTAGTAATTTGCAAAAAGACTGAGTAGGCAGTTACACATCAGTGAGATCAAACCTCTTACAAGAGCTCAAGTCTGTGTGTGTAACCTCAAAACACCCTGCTTTGTCCTTAGTAGTGCTATGTTTGCACCAAACCATTACATATATTTTTGGCTGTCATAGAATGCCTGAATTTGGACAGCCCTTGGGAAAAATGTATGTTAGGAATGCATGTTTTTGGTTTTTTTTTTTTTAGTATTTTCTATATTCCTTCATGTTTCTATTTTCTTTTCCCAATCTATTTCATTCCATATCACATATTTTTTTTCAAAAGACTGGTTATCATTTTCTAAGTATATTAATTGATCACCTTGAACACAAAATACGATTTTATTTAAAATTCAGACGAATGGAGCCAAACACTAAAACCTCAAGTGATAGAGCGTAGATTTTAGCTGCCTTTCTTTGTGTCCACCTCAAAGAACATCATGTGTGTGGTTGCCAAGACTGCTAACCTATGAATTTCTTGTGGAAAGAAACATATTTGTTTTTGTATGAATCTATATATGTGCACCTGTTAATACACATATAACTACTTTTATGCATCCCCACAAGTATACACACACTAGTGAGTGTTTGTAAATATCCCTGAATAAAAACATTATCTATCTCCTCTGACTATTCTGAAACGAATCCTAATTTAAAAGAATTTCAGTGTGAACAGATTGATCTTTAACTCTTTCAGTATACAGAAAGAATAGTTAATTGAAGCAGAACATCAGAATACATATTATACAAAATGATCAGAAGTCGAATAACTATAGATCTTTCAGCCAGTTCCACATTAAGATTATTAGCAGCAGCAACCACCTAGATTTGACTCAGGCATCATTTGCATGCTATTATATTGAATTTTAGTAGCAGCACCTAAATTAAAGATAATTAAATTTTTTAGTATAGCAATTTGTTAATAGCACTCATGAGTAAAAAATTGTACAAACTGATAAAACGCAACACTTTTTTTTTTAATCTCAAAGTTATTTGCCAACAGGAAGTTAAAAGCAAAACTATATGCAAATGGGAAAACTATACCAACTAACTACTATATTTAAATGAAATCTATTTACCTTTTATCCAGTCTGAATAGATGCTTTTTAATTATTGCTAATTGTTTAAGATGACTTTGCATCCCCCAGAAGATTTAGTCTGAATAAATTTAATTCCTTTAAAGTCTCCTTCAGTTACAGGCAAATACAGTAAGAAGCCCCATAGGTATGGCAGTAAAATAGTCATAAAGGCAGAAGCATTTAAATGAGCAGAGCGAGGAAGTATTCCCCGAAAGAGGAAGAAAAGCTATATGGCTGGAGATGCAAGAACTGAACATGAAACACACAGTCGAAGCATTTAGGACGACTGTGGAAAAGGTCGCCGTTCACTTGCTAAGGAATGTGCAGGGGCCCAGTACAGCCTGTGAATGGTCCTTTCACAGGTCACGGCGTCCATTCAGCTCACGGACATTGTTATGACCCGGCGGAAATAGATGGGCCTAATTAATATTCTGAACATACCTGAGAGAACATTCTTAAGGAAATCATCCTCTGGTGGTTTGGAAATGAAGAAAAAAAAAGAAAGAAAGAAAGAAAGAAAGAAAACTGAACAGTAAGCATTAAAAATTGGATCAAGATAGCAAAGTCAACTGCTCTCAAAGTGTAGTGCCAGCTGCAAACAGAAGTCTTGTTTGTGTACGTTTTGTGGTGCAAGTGGCTGTGCCTGGGGAAATAAAGTCGAACACAAGTTTGAATTTACTGGTAACAATGTTCTCCCTATTTCATTGAAAAACAGGCAAAAGTCAGCTGCAGAAAACTTGTCATACATGCCTGCAAATTCAGATGCTAACAAATAATGAAGTAATTTATGAATCCTGTATTGATTAATGTAAAAAGTATACAATGAAAATACATTATCGAGGAAAAAATTAATATTTAAATGAAAAAAGTAAGAATGCCAATTTATGAAGTATTTAAAATATTTTCTAAGTAAATTATTAATTTAAATGTTAATTTTCTGTATGTGATTAAATCCACATTTCTCATATGAATGCTTGTGGTTTTTTATTTTGAACACTTATAATGTTATTTATGCAAGATCAGCTATAACTCATAAAAAATTCACTGTTGCATATTGGGATATTAAAATCATCATTTTGAAACACAATGAAAAATACTTGACTCAAAATAAGGTCAAAATACAATATAGAACAAATTTCATGAGCTACTTTAGTATTTTCTGAGGAGATGCTCCTAACATATGTATAAAATGCATGTCTTTATGAAGAGATAAAGGATTGCTATATAAAATGTCCAACACGATGTAAGTACTTATTGAAGAAATTAACTGCTAAAGTCCCTATCTTATTTAAATACCTACATTTAGCCAAGTAATTCATTCTGCAATGAGAGTCAAGTGTTTGGTGCTGGAACCTAATACAGTCCATATAAAACAAAATCCCCGTGGAAATGAATGGAGCCATTCAGTTCCGAGACACAAAAAGCTGTCCTTTCTTTGTGTGGCTACTTTAAAACCCCTTGATAGTCTTTTTTCCTTTTTATGGTGCTTTCGATATAGATGTTTCTCTACTCAAAAAAATCACCAACAAACTACAAGTAGCAAATACCTAAATATGTACCAGATGTGCAAGTGCTCCCTGGGACAGCTAGATCATGGACAATTAACTGTCATGCCATCCCTGCCTGTGCTTGTGCTCGCTCCTGTAGTAGGCACCTGTGGCTTATTAGGAATATAACCAAAGTGGTAACACGAATTCCAGGTTCAAAGGTAACCTGGGAAAAATCTCCTCTCTCACTTCTCGAGTGTTCCTTTAAAAAAAAAAAAAAAGACAATAAAATAGGATGTAGACAAGCAATGGATGAATATCATTCAAGAGAACTATTACCAAGGATCCCATCCCCTATCTTTGTCCAGTTGTAAGTGTATATCAAGTCAAATGATCAAAGGAGGATTTGACAGCACTTCCAAAGTGCTAAGTGCAAGAGCTGGTCCTTGTTTGTATTCTATTGTGATTCAAACAAACTAGACCAGTTGTGAACAATGCCTAGGAAAAAAATCAAGGAAAATTGAACACTGGATACTTGATAACACTAGATAATTATTAATGTTTTAGGCGTGAAAATGATATTATGGTTTTGTTTTTAGAAAGTCTTTTTTTTCTTTTTTTTATTGTTGGTTGTTCAAAACATTACATAGTTCTTGATATATCATATTTCACACTTTGATTCAAGTGGGTTATGAACTCCCATTTTTACCCCGTATACAGATTTATCTTTTGGAGATGTGCACGGGAGTATTTGTAGATGAAATGGTGTGCCTCATGGAATTTCCTTCAATATAACTGGCATTAAACAGGCAAAAGTCAGCTACAGAAAACTTGTCATAAATGCTTGCAAATTAATATGGTAATGAGTAATGAAGTAATTTATTTGTCATGTATTAATTAATATAAAAAGTATACAATGAAAATACAATATTGGGGAAAATTAATCTTATCAATGTTTTGAGGATGAAGTGGGTGGACATATTGCAGTGATCTTAAAAATATGTCCCCAAAATATGTCTTTTTCTTTCAGGAAGTGGAGATTTATTCCTCTCTCCTGTGTGCAGGCATTTAGTGACTGAGTTCTAAAGAACAGAATGAGGCAGAAGAGACAGTGTCTGATTTCCAAAAGGAAGTCTTGAAAAGCATCCAGGCTTCCTGTTAGTCCCCTGAGGGAACACAGGGGGCACGTTCTGAGAGTATTCCAGCAGCCCTGGGTGGTGGGCAGCCCAGAGCCTGTCAACTACTGGGGAGTGGGCCTCCTGCCAATGGCCATAAGGAGAGACACCTCGGAAGTGGATCTGCTGTCCAGGTGGCATGTCACCTCTCAGCCAGAGCCACAGAGCCAGGTCTTTGTCAGTTGCTGACCCTCAGAGAATGAGATTATGAATACTTACCGTTTTAAGCCACTGGGCTTTGCTTTTAGTTTTTCATTTCTACCCTTCTTTCCTCCCTCCCTCCCTTTTTTCCTTCTTTCTTTCTCAGCAATGAGTAACATGTGCAGCGCCTATGAAGCCAGATTCACTCTGATGAGGTTTCAAGGCAGGATAATGAAAACATCAGGGATCACCATGATATTTTTATCTACTTTCATGTATATTTGAATAATTCTGCAATAAAACTTTAAAAAACTCATTTACATTTTCTCTATCTTGAAAAGATCTACTTTTGATGGTAACTATGAATACTTTAGTTAATATTTAAGAGCTTTTAATTTTTCTAAAAAAATTTGTTTAGACTCCTTAACTTGATTTAAATTAGGCTTTGTGAATTTTCTTATTTCTGATACATTTACATGGAATATAAGACAATATGATATTGAGTTTTATATAGGAAATGAAGGCAAAACTCAGTGACCTGTGCTTGCTATATTTGGAGATTGGTGGCACTCAGACTTTGGACTGAAATGAAGCTGTATGTTTTGGAGGGAGGAAGGCAATTTTCCGGAGGAATGATCAAGTACCAGCTCTCTCATGTAGATTTGTCTTGGGGAGATGAGTACTGGGGATTGACCCAAGGCACTTTACCACTGAGCCATATGCCAGTCCTTTTTTTAAATTTTTTGAGAAAGGGTATGGCTAAGTTGCTTTGGGCTTAGCTAAGTTGTTGAGGCTCATCTTGAACTTGAAGTCCTCCAGCCTTAGCCTCCTGAGTCACTGGGATTACAGGCATGCACCATGTCTCCCAGCAGCCTTGTTTTATAAACTGTTCAGAATAGACACAAACACAAATGCAATTGGTCATGAGTGGATTCTACATTGAGAAATAGTGAGTGAAATGAATGAAAGCCATACGAGGGGACCATTTAATCAAACTGCTAAGCTTAAATTGTAGATTTGAAGAACGAACGTGGAGCTGTGTGCTTGCTGAGTGCGCTTGCTTAGCATGTGCAGAGTCCTGGGTTTGGCCCCCAGTATCTCAAAACAAAACAAACAAATACAAATCGGCAGAATCTCAAGCTTCTGTAACAGGAAGGTAGCAGTTAGAAGGAAGAAAATCATGGATGGAGACAGAGGGGTGTAGTTAGGAAAGGAAGCATCAGGAAAGCCAAGGGAGACAGGTTTGGGACTGAGGAAGTCAACAAAATAAAGCACAGGGTTGGAATTCAGCAAAGACTCTGTAATGAGAGCCCAGCTGATTAGAATGAGCAGGGCAGTTCAGGTACTGCTTGGGTGATAAGAGCTTGCATCCAGGAATGAGGTAATACATGGCAGGAGAGAGTAGGGAATGTTTAGGAGAAATAGTGACGGTAGAAACATCCTAACCCTGATTAAGTAAAGAGCCAATCCCAAGAAGCAGGTGTGAGATTGGCAAGAAGGGTCTGGAAGGTGGAAGCAGGTTGCCCTTATTCAGGAAGTTTTGGACATTGCAGTTCAAAAGCACAAACTCCTTTCTGCTTAAGAGTTTAAACGAATACTTCAAAGATCCTTTGTGTGGTTTCACTATGATAATTGCTTTTAAGCTTTTGCAAAAACTGTGTGAACATTTTTTGTGTTGTACAAAGATTATAGAAAATATTTTCTCCATTTGATAATAATTGTCCTGAATGTGTTAATGCAGAAGTTGCACGTATTAAGCTCTTAATGAAAAAGTTTCTTCCTACTTTTCAAGATCTTATAAAAATTTCCACAGTATGTTTAGACAGAAAAATGTCTTTTGTTCATAGAGAAACTTTTAAGTGTATTTTACTAATGCCTTTATATCCAATTTATACGAGACATAATGGTTCTTTGCTATCTACATCTTCATCATTATTATACAGCATCAGAAAGCTATAAATCATATCTTATTATCATGACTCCCTACAAAATTGCCTTTATAGGATTATATGTCATTATTTTATTTTAAAATCATCCTACTACTTACATCTAAGATCTATGTAAAAAATATGAGCAAAATATCTACATTAAATATTAAAACAAGAATCAACAATTAAAGTGACTACAAAAAGATAGCTTGCCATATGTTATTCATTATCTTCTACGTATCATCCAGGTGATTAATTCCTTTTATGAAATTTACCTTAAAAGTAGATAAAAGCAAAAAAGTCATTAGAACAGTGAAAAAAAAAAGTATGCTTCAGATTTCAGTTTCTTAAGACAAAATAAAAAGACAGTAAGACACCCTTTGTTCCAAATGAAAGTTCTGCAAATGATCAAGTTTCTCATTTCCTCTTGAATCTCAGGAAACTCAATTTGAAAATGAATAGTCTCCAATAGATTAGTTGCTTGTAGCAGAGTTAGTTATACATTTTGTGTTTACTCCTTGGATTTTCTATTGTTTCTCGAAATAGAAACAATATTTGATATTTT